CGCTACCGCACCGTCCGGTCTCTAGGCGATATATTCGTCCACTTGAATTATCTTTCAAGGCTGAATTGCGGGTGTGAGAGAGTGCCGGGACTGCACTCAGCATTCTTGACCGCGGAGGGGATAAATGGCCAATCACGGCCGGAGACTGGACACAGAGAGCCGGATCACAGGTCCATGGTATTGCTGAGGACAAGCCAGTCCAACACCTATCATCACCCATCATCCGACGATCCCGTCACACGGACGAGCCTGCAGGATCCTACCATCGGTCGTTGCTCGATCCAGTGCCCAGGTCGCTCTGCGTGAGATCGGGGTTGAAGTGAGAGCCTGTAGTCGACAGCGCTGGTAGGTCATAATGTGCCTATTTAATCCTTGCCCGAACACCACCAGAATGGGTCGCGGATCGATGTCGGCCTGTGGGCCGCGACCGAGAGGATCTCCTCCTTGATCTGTCCGGTTTCGTCGGCCAACATCACGGTGGGATTCGCTCGCGAGATCATGACGACAGTGGCTCCTGCGTTGGGATGCAGTACCGGCGCCAGTGTCGGTCGCCCTCGTTCACCGTTCACGTGGCCGTCGTAGAGACCGGTTGTTCGTCCATTGGGCGCCTGGGACTCAGTAGAAATCCCGGATTCGCAGAGTGGCCAAATCTATCCAGATAGAGAGCTTCTCAGTCCTATATAAGGGGGTTAACTCGCGTCGTGGGTCACCCGCGAGAGGGGATATCCAAAATGCATAAAAATCCAAGTTGACTTGACTCATGCCATCCTTCAGTGATGGAGCTCCGAACAGTCTCCTGCGGGATTTCCTGACGGCCTCACGGTTCAAATTACTATGTCGAGCACGTCCTGACGTTGTTCCGCTGTGACGTGCATTTCTACAGAACCGTGCCCCAAAAAAAGAAGGGAAAAAAAAGGGAGGGGGCGGGGGGGGAGGGGAAAGGGGAAAAAAGGAGACAAAAAAAAAAAAAAGAAGATATCCGCCTTATGATGGGTTATTGTAGGCCTTTTGGCCTACTTTCCCTCTCTTTCCGCTTATTTCCTTCTTTCTTGTTTTCCTTCTTTATTCGGCCCTCTTATATATAGTATGAGTTAAGCTTGAAGGTTATGATAGTAATAGTTTTTAGGTAGACATTAAATGCGGTTCGAAGATAGTAGACTTGAAAGCATTGGGATACTAGAGTATATGAGACAGGATTTCACAGCAACGAGCCGTGCAACGTACCTATTTTCAAGTTGAGCGTGCAATAACCGACACCGAAAATAAACGAGATGTCAAAACAAGCGGGAAAAAAGAAGGTAGCACATAGACCGCCTTCTTGACATACCCCTTAAAAGGCACTGTAGGTGGCGAGAGGGGAGAGGGTTTGAGGAAGCCGCTCGGAAAAGACCGTTTCCTGTGCCCATGAATGACGGCCAATCCCCTCGTGTTCTAGCCTCGTCAATATGGGTCCGACAGATACAAGCTCGCGCTTTGCACGTGAACGGAGTGACTCACGGTGATAGGGGAGGATCCGATTGTTGTGTGCGGTGTTTGTGTGCGGTGTCTGGGGAGCGCCGTCCCATCTGCGTTCGGAATATTGTGATTAAAATGAGTTGTGCTCTTTTTCTTGTCAAGCGGAATTCCTGCTTTCACACACGATAGGAGTTCGAAAGATGTCCGTTCAGGCCTGCATAGTTTTATCGAGTACGGGAGTGTTCATCAGACGGATCGAAATAGTCCCCCCAAGTTCGTATCTTCCTCAACATTCTATCGTGTTATGTGTGCGGCTGAGCATCGCGGTGAAGTTAAATATGCCTCCTGCGCCACCGCAAAGCATAGACTACACCACAAGTTGGTTCTCTTTCAACCATGGTAGCCGCATTCGAAGACTGGATGACCGCGATCTTTCTCACGGGCGACTGGGATGAGATGAAAAATTGGCCACAGCTGGGGGTGCTGTGTAGTTACGGGCAGGTTTGGAGAAGTTGTCACGATTCAGTAGAACGGATGACACCGTATGAAGTCCGACAAATGCTTGAAGGCCATCTCGATGTATTGCAAGGCCTCTACGAAAGACTGGGCTTCTTCCAGGAACGGTCATTTCCACGGCTTTTTTTTCTGATTCTATACCATCTCCTACGGATAGAGGTCGGAGAGATGAGTCCCGACCTTATCAAAGCCGGCCTGATAGTATCCCTACTCTTGGACAAGTCGTTCGATCCCATCTGCGATGCGGACAAATGCACCCATCAAGCCGTCTTTTTTCTAGAAGGGTTGAGGAAATTCTCACCTCAGGACGGGGACGACCCGCCGGAGCAACCCGCCTCTCAGCACGAAAAAGCCTTACTTGATAACGTGAGCTGGGACATCCGGCATGAACCGTGGCTAGCTAGGGCGAGCGGGGGGGAGCCTCTAGACTTTACAGAGGTGCTGTTTCCACACCGCGTCACTTTAATCATGGGGGATGACAGCATTGAAGTCCGTTTTTCTCCGCCGGGCCGGACAGTCTACGATGTTTTGAAGGCGATACACGAGGTTGGCCATAGGGTTAGTAGTGACGCCACAGATGATGACTTCGGCTTATCACACCATTGTTTCAACGGAATAGGCCAAGAGGAATCAGATCCAACCACTTGGTATGTCGATCTTTGTTAGTGACACGGCTGGATACGAGGAGAAGAGTTACCGAGCTATAGAGTACGGCTCGGTAGTCGAGCGCCGGTCGCTCTCGAGATTGACTTGAGCAAGCATTGAGAGAGGTTCGTTCCTCGTTCCCACGACTCTGTAGGTCCCATCCTTACTGCAAAGTCCATGTTTTTCTTCTTGTTTCGCCGATTGAGCCACCTCCGTCGCCCGAATCTACCTCTCGCTTCCGTCGAAATGCAAGGTCAATGTCTCGAGATGACCGAGCGAGGCTGGCCCGCCAGTCGTGCGCCTTGGCAGGGTTCTTCTGACAAGGACTGATTTCGGAGAGTTTGGTTCCCCCTACCTGTCCGCGGGGGCTTGGGGACGTCGGGGGATTCCTCGCGAGGCTGCGCGAGGCTGCGCTATGTGACGTCACTACGGAGACATATTCTTCCGACTTGCTGCTCCCGCCAAAGTTGTGAGACCGACTCGGATGGAAGCGGCCCTTCGCCAGCATCGCATTCTATTGTGTCGGAGATAAGGCCTTGTTCAGAGTTGGGCGAGGAGGACGAAATCAACCTGTCGAGCTCGTTGTTGAGCGCCAGGTAGTCTTCGCGAGGTAGATTACGCGCCACGCGAGATTCTCCAAGAGCAATAGCCATGTCTTCTGAAGCGAGATGGCATGAGAAGCATGCATTGTCGAAAGGAAACGCGCTCCGTCGAAGCCAGAACGGACTTGAAATAACCAAATTCGCCCCATGAATTTTCGAATGGCTTAGAGCGTGTCTAAATGGTGTGCTACGCGCAGTCTCTCCTGTACAACATACAGCCGAGTTTTCGGTCGTTGTAAGGTGCGTGATGTCCCCTTCTCGCCGCGTTTGGTGATTAGACGTAAGGGAGTCGGTTAAGGCTAATTATCAATACCACTATACTCAGCGGCGAATCCTGACCTCTCCAAGGTCCATTTTCGTTTCCGGACCTGAGCATCTCGACATTCAACCCAAGTCATGGCGAATCCATTCTCAGCTATGGCTGTGCAATCCTGAGCTCGCTTGGCCAGCCCCGAGGCGCCCCCTAAGTGGCGTGAGCACAGCCCCCGAGTCTGTGAAGGTTCCCACGACTTAGTCCCGACTTGGAGGTTCTCGGTTTTGGGGCGCTTCACATCTTTGGAAGGCCCAGCTCCCGGCCTCCCTCTCGGTTGGCATTTCCGGAGTCGCCTGGAGGAGCCACTAGTTGGGGAAGGCCGTTCGGAGATGTTTGCAGTACTTGCAGTGTTTATCTTGTTGGATAACTGGAGGCGGCGATCACCCGAGGCCAATTGTGCTGCACCTTTGATCACTTTCCATTTTTGGCGGGACTGGAAACGTATTGAGCTTGGGCATGGATAAATACTCGGCATACTTTCCCATTGTAGCCCCTGTCAGGAACTGGTCTAACACGACCTGAGATCGTCAAGGGGTTCAATTCCTGCGCATGCGGACTCCCTTACCTTCTTCACGCAGTCGCAACGCCCGCGACGCTCCCCCTTCTGCGCGGGAATATCGCATGCGATGAGGCCGACTTGAAACGAGCCCTCATTCGATTTCCACTGCCTCACCGTATCGGTGATAAAGTACACCCTAGAAATTGTGATCAAAAGCTTCGGTGTGAAGCTACAACCTACGCATGGGATATACGACGAATGTCCGGACGTGCGCATCCCTAATCTTTATGGATTTGCGCTTTCAAGCGGATAGTTGGTCATGTCACTTTCAGCCTCGGGCGCAGAAGAATAGAGCTAACCGACTTTCTAGTAGTTTGACCGCAGTTGAGCACTGCCCTCTTCTTGTCCGCCTGTATCACTACCGTCGAAGTCAGTTTTGTCTTGCCTTGGTCGTCGTGTCCCTTCCAACCTAGTTCCACATCAAAGCGGTCTGTCGAATGAGTTGGGCGGGTACCTATTCATAGAATATATGGACCAGAAACAAGGGTAAATGCTGTCAAAGGCCCGGGAGACCGGTCGAACGGACGGTCGACTCATAAAGAATCTATTTCGCAGTCTTTCACAAATTACGCTGAGGATTGGCCGCGTCGCTTTTCCTCATATCGGGGTCGCTTATCATCGACGACCAAGCATCCATACGCTTGGAAAAATTGACCTCTCACCCCTGGAGATACAGGATTTGGAGAATGTGCAGATTTTGTTCTTCGACGGGGTGGTCCGCCACTAGGGTCTCCCTAAGGGCATAATCTCGGACCGGGACCCGAAATTTCCCTCACATTTCCGGAGGCAGTTGCTGGCCAGGCACAACGTGCAAAGGTGGCTTGCGGCGGCATACCACCCAGCAGCGGATGGCCAAGCGGAACAGACAAACCAATAGGTCGAGACTCAACGACGATGCTTATCGATAGGCATGTACCAGGAGCAATGGGCCCAATGGATCCCTGAGGTGGAACGATGCTTGAATACAACAACGAACCGGCCAACGGGCAGAACGCCATATGAGATCGTGTATGGACTGAAACCCCCTGACTTGCCGACTGGCAGACGCGGACGCACCGCATACGAGATGCAGAGGATTTCATATCCGGGAGACAGAGAACCCGCGACGACGTCAAAGACGCCCTAGACCTGGCACAGGTGCGGATAGCTATCCGGCTCGATTCCCGTCATAAACCTCCAGGCTCCCGTGGAAAGGTATGGCTCAGGGTGGTTAGGCCGGGTAGACATGGATACCAGCTGACAGGAAACCCCAAGACTGGACCGATCCGCACCGAACCCTTCAAATTCAAGAGGAAGGTCGGCGACCTGGCACATAAATTGGATCTTCCTGGATCGGTCAAGATCCACCCGGTGATATCCGATGTTCACCTGGAACAATCCTGCGAAGACGAGCATGGTCGGAAGCGGCCGCCACCAGCTCCGATAGTGATCGATGGACCGGAAAAGTTTATCATCGAGAGGCTATTCAAAGCAAAGGGAGACCAGGTGATGGTGAAGTGGAAAGGCCACGACAAGCCAACATGGGAAATCTATCAAGGTACTACGCCAAGACCTCCTAGAAAGGGTAGGGAGGTTTTGAGGCACGCAGAAAGGGAAAAGCGGGGTCTGGCAGGCCTTCGGATTGTGATCTGACTGAGAACTTAGACCTTTTGATGTTTTGCAACCTCACTCATCTTTCACCTACATCTCACCAGCTATCGGACCATGGGGAGTTAGAGTTCGATCAACCGTATCTTTTGATGAGAGAAAACCACATACAGACAAAACCTCTGACCCTGGTCTTGAGAACGACTCCCATCTCGACATGAGCGACGGCGGCTCGAACCTCGTACTCAGTTCGGACTCATCCAAAACCCCCCTATCCCCAAAGAGCCGATCGGGCATCAACATGGCCGATAGGGCACCGGGAACAGTCATCAACAAATATACGGGGTGGAAGCATGAAGTCTGGAAGGAAGACTACCATTGCCTAGTGGGAACTGGCCCTCAGGGACACATAAGGGGCCCAATCAAACCGAAAATGACGAGCCACTACCCTGTTTTTCGCTACCCGGGGGAGAGCTTCTTCGAGGGGACAACACAGGAGGTCAAGGACAAATTTCCGAGACATGTGAAGCTGGACGACACGAGCCTCTACCTGGTGATCAAACTGTTCGATGAAAAGGAACGCGCGGGTCGCTTCGAGGCCGACTTTGACCAGGCTGGCGATGTGAGACCGGCGCGACAGCGTTTCGGCCCGGGACCACGAGTCGAGATCGAGGGCACCCAATACTACCCGGTGTACAAGCGCTACTACATCATTTGTGGGGACGACTATGTCGCACTGCGGGATATCCCAAGGATCGGGCAGGACAGCCAAAAGGAGAGATGTAAACAAGCGAAGGAAGACCCGGGCCCGCTGTCCGTTGGCCAGGTCCCCATTCCGAAGGCAGTTATAGCCAACCCTCCACGGCTACTGGTCCTGCGTCAATCCACCAATTTCGACAGCAATAGTCAGTCGGCTACCCCGCCCCCCGGTGAAGACTCCCTGTCCTGGCAATGGGCAGAGGCCCGGTCAAAGGTGGCCCACGAATGTTGGTGGGATTCCACCGGGGACTTCACGGGAAACCCGGGTTCACCCGACAAGGGACCGGCGGGCCGGACGAGAAACCAAGCAACGTTGGGTAGGCAACCGCGAGCCGGCCGCTCTGACACGGGCGTGAAACCCAGCAAGGACGCAGAACCCCCCAACGACACAAACTCTGGCGAGGGTGTGGACTCCAACGCGGACTCTGGCGAAAGCACGAATGCCAACAAAGGGGCAGGGGGACTCAAGGATGCAGAGGGGGTGGCGGCCCCTGGGCCACAGCCGTCACAGGCTGCTAAGCCACCAGCATCGGGCCCTATCCCTGCACCAACTGGACAGTCGTCTGGGCAGCCTGGGGCTTCGGAGCGTCGGAAAGCGCTGAGGACAGCTCAGGGGATGGCGATCGAGAATAACCAGTTCCTGCGACACCAGTTGGCCAAGGCTGAGGAGGTGGTCGCGGGCCTAAAAGTAGTCGCGGAACAGCAACGGCAGACGCAGCCAGCATTGGTGATGGCGAGGATGGCACTCAACAAGGCCAAGGAGACGGGCGTACCAGACCAAGCCCGGGCCACGGTCGTCGAACTCAAGGAGCTCCTGGAGGCTACGCCTTTGATCCCTGGCTCGGACCGGATCCGGGATGACTTGTGGTTGGAAATCGCGGAGTTCGAGGAGGACATGAGTCAAGAGAATTACCGCCTCGGGGTGGTTCACAGGGGGTTCCGCAAACACGTGAAGGTCCCGATGGGACGGGAACAAGACTGGAACCTTATAGCCAAGCTGGAAGAATCGGGCCCGTTCTTCTTCGAGGACGGTGCTGAGTGGCGTGGCACGAAGGTGTTGCTTAACCCCGGCGAGGACGGTGAGAGCAAGATATTCGGCAGGTACTTTTTCTGCAAGGAGACCCCGGATGGGAAGTTGGACCAAGATGACCTCAACGCTCTGGATCGGTCGGAATATTACAACTTCGACTTGGTGGAGATGTCGGACGCCGAAAAGGCCATGACCCTGGCGCAACTTGACGTGTTCTCAGGACGCTACGTCAAGGTCGCGGATGGGCTGCCGACGGCGAGGGAGATCAAATGGTCCCGCGACCGAGATTTGTTCTTTACGGCATCGGGCGAGCGCTTCCGGGCGCCAGGAGGAGGGAAACGCCTGGTCCCATACAACCCTATTCTGGGGTTTGTTCCGGACGGGGACACGCACGTGAAGGTGGACCTGCTGTCCGAACGGAAGGCAAACCACAATACCGGCGACCCGGACCCAGACCAGATCTCACAGGAAGTGGCAGCGGGGCGTTTCTACGACGCCGAGGGCAACTTGAAGACTGTGGTGGTGAGCACAGGGGCAAAACGAAAGGCAGGAGCCACCCAAATGCTGGACATCCAGGCTATGAAAAAAGCGCGGGGGGATACCTCGTCCTCACCGGGGGGCATAGGCGTGCAGTGACCACTTGCGAGGAGGACCGGACCGGCGCGACACGACGGCCGACGCCACGTGGTGGAAGGACTGACTCGTCTCGGATCCCGGTCATGAGGATGCTTCGTTTCAACATGAGTCTTGAACGATGCGGGCTCTCGCTTGGTGTGCAACTTCTCATTCAACACGAGCCTTGATCAACTCGCATGGTACGCCACTCGGTGGCAGCGCTGGAATGACTTGGACCCCGCTGGCGGGAGCAGTTTGCTCGACATGGACCTCGGTCAACGGGGGCTTTTTTACATTCAACAGGAGCTACATTAGGCGAACAACAAGCAAAAGTGAACGACAACCAACAAGGACGTTGGCTTTTGCTGGCCGAGGGGCGCATGGGGCGCATCTACCCTAGCTGAGCGGTAGCCGCTCCTCAGATAAGTGGTATGTAAGCATTCCGACAGTTTCTTTCAAGGTAGCCTGGTTACATGCCATGTTTCGACGCTCTCACCGCAGCCGCGATACAGCCCCCTCGCCCCTCTCACCGCCCTCTCCTTTTCTCCTTAAGACGTCAGCTTCTTCGCCTGCATCCCCTTCCCTCTTGCTCGACCCTGACTTGAAACCAACGAGCGCGACGCTCTTCCCGCCGTGAAACTGGCTTCGTCGTCGCCAACCTATCCCGGTCGAGGCGAAGGCGTCGTGGCCTGAAGGATTCTTTGCTGCGCGAGATCCAGTGGCGCGTCGGCAAGAGGCTCGACCAGTTTGCGAAAGAGAAAGGTTCATGAATGCCAAGAAATTACAACGAGGACACGAGAGCATGAGCACCTGTCCTTCGATCTCTCTCGATTTGAGGCGTCCATCAAAACGGGAGTGATGAGACCAGACAATTCATTCCCGAGGACAACCGCCGGAGAAGGTGACGACAGGAGCCTGCAGATCTCGCAGACCTCGCAAACGATCATGACCGTGCTGCGCAGCCCGCGTCGTCCTGCCATAAATCTGCAAAGCATCTCCGTAAGCTGGAACCTCTGATGGAACGATGGTCGGGACGCAGGTGTGGAGAAGGTTCTAATCTTCGATGGTCACCGTGTGTCATCGCGTAGCGCATCGAGGGTCTTTCGAAAAGTGATGGATGAAACAACCCGTCCCCGCTGGTGACAGACAAGATTTCAGATCAACGGCCCCGTTGAAGCGTCTGCAAAGACCCCTACCAGTGAATTCCTCGGGGGTGGGCGTCCTACCCCATGTAGGTAGAGATCTCACACCACCCGGGAGTGGCCAGAAAACCGACCGGGATGCGCCCCAATTTGGTCCAAGACTTCCTCCAAGTAGCTGATCGGAACGCCATCCTGGATTCTTTTCATCAACGATGAGATGTCGAAGATGCATCAACTCGCGGGCTGTCGAGCGCGGTCATCTGACCGGGTAACGGGACATGGTGTGCAAGCTCGCACGGGAGGCGCGCACCAAAAGCGTTGACCTCGCCAGTTTTTAGCGTGCAGACTAGAAACCTAATCTAGGCCATTATTTTCACCCCGCCGCCAATCTTCTACAGCGTGTTACCCTGCACGTTTTCTCAACAATCACGTCCATCCCACGGCCTCCTATGCCTGCGCGATCGTCAAACAGCGGTATATTAGGTAGGGGACACGGCCTCGGAAGGTCTGTCCATGGTCAATCTCGTACGTTGGGCCATGCCGTCAACTGATTTGTATGCACAACAAGCGTGTGAACGCGAACCTCAGCGGCCGCGAACACCTCGGAACCCGCGCGCGCAGAAACCTCTCCCTCAGGAACAGGCCACTGGCCACACTAGTGTTCGCTAATTATTCGCCAGACGTAACGGGTGCAGGCACTCACGGTATTATCGCTCGGTTATCCGCCACCGCAAGTTGAGGTCTGGGTCAAGGTCCCAGCGAGCCAGGCGAGGAGGAGGTTTCAAAAGGTGAAAGAGCGTGGTTATCGTCCGCAGGAGGATCCTCGTGTTCTCGATCACTATGTTGAGGACGGCCCCAGGACAGGAAGACTTGAGGAGATGACTGAAGAGGTTGAACAATGTGTTCTGGCGTTCGTTGACAAGGACCGATCAGGTAGAGAGAAATCCAGCGACGTTTTAGCCTATGGATCAGGTATCAGCACGTCTTCCGTTCTACGCGTTCTGCGCAAGAATAACCTCAGGGGTGTCAAACCCACGAGCAACCCCGGTCTGTCGAGGGCCCAGCGTTCACTTCCTGCGCTTGCAGGACTGGACACTGGAGGATTGGAAGGACGTTCTCTGGACCGACGAAACCTCGGTTGTGCCAGGGTACACGACGGAGGCAGGGAATCTGGCGGCGAGCGGACGAGGCCTTGACAAAGTCAGCTATCCGCAACCGCCGGAAAGGCTTCTCTGAGTCCATGTTCTGGGGCTGTGGTACTTACGGTCTGCAAGGGCCTTATTTTATCCGGTATCCTGAGACAGGCAAAGAGCGTCAAGAGGCAACCGAACACGTCGCGAACGATCGCACAAGGAACTGGAACCGATCAAGAAGGAGGAGTGGGAGGTGTGGACAGGAACGAGACGACTAGGCCTGAGGTATCAAGGTGGTAAAAGGCCAACCTGGCGATTTACAGAGCCCAATGGCAAGTTTGGTCAGGAAAGGTGAAGGGGGCATCGACCGGCGTCGCTACATCAAGGTAGGAGATTCAGGCGATCTAATGCCTTCTCTCGCTATTTCCTAATGTGATTTACGGACAGAATCGTAATCGAGTTCATCGTTGAGCCATTGATTGTCCCGTTTGCGCAGGAGTGCCCGACGTCGCGGCTCGAGACGAGAGTCCAGGAGGACAACGCATCATCTCACGCCGACTGGTCTGCGCAACGAATCTTTCAACGTCATCGAATTCCTCGTCTCCCGCATCCTCCCCATTCACCGGACTTAAACGCCCCAGAAATGGCCTGGTCATGGCGCAAAAAGGCCACGACATCTCGCCGTCCTCCGCCGTCGGATCAACGAACGGGAAAAGGCCTGGAAACAGCGGGGGAAGAGCCTGCCGCAGGAGCAGATTTCGGCTGTGGATAGAGGGCATTCCACGTAATATTCAAGAGATTATACGACTCGAGGGTGGCAACGAGTACAAGGAAGGCCGAGATACTAGGCGCAGCTACAGAGGCTACCGTAAGGTAGGCCATTTACACAAGCACAAGTACCTACAGGATTACAGGGCAGGCGACGGCGAGGTCGAACAAGTAAACCTGCCTACCGCAGGCGTAGCCGAATGGCCAATCCACAGAACACCTAGCGATCGAGATAATCAACAGGACAGCGAACAGGACAGCGAACGATCACAGTTGTGGCCGGGACAGTGGCCAGGACACCGATTAGATCACACAAAATGGTGACAGACTGTTTACTCGATCGTGCCGAGGCCCTAATTGACTAGTCTATGCGCTAAAACTAGCGCAGAACCAACACTTTTGGTCCGCGCCTCCGTACGGAGTACCGAGCATGCAAACGTTCAGCCACTGATTGGCATGAGTGGCAATGACAGCGGGAGCCACAGGTGCAATTAGACTAAGATTTCATGACGCTGTGCCACCTGTTCGGGCGTCGCCGAGAAAAAGCACGACAGGATGCGGTTGCCTGCCTTCCCAGACTATCGGGATCGGCAGCCGAATGGATTGCTATTTCTCGGAGCCATCAGCAATGGTGCAACAACGTGATATTGAGGGCCAAAGTCGTGCTAACCTCGCCCCTCTGAACCGTTTTAGGTTGGCTGTTGTCGAGCGAGATGTTCCCATGAGCCTTCAATAGTAGAGTTACGATTGCTCGCTGGGATATTCTTCTTGAGTAGAGGCAGTTAGACCTCCTTTTTGATCACCCAGGGGTCACTCTCATGAGAACTTAGTCCACTTGGGTTAAAGCCGGTCCGGGCGCCTGACACAATGCCCGTGTCTACTCGCTGTAGAGAGTTTCTCCTTATCACAGAAGACACCCTCTGGGTTCCTCGTAGATCGTTAGGCACGTAGGCGCCCTCATTTTTCAGCGGTCGCTAGGCTCAACGCGTATCCCGAAGGTCTTATGGCTTTGGATCACGATATGGACGTTATTCCCTCGCGCTTTGCGTCTTCAAAAATTTGAGCGCGTGTTCCTCCTCTTAAGGTTGCCTCCTCTTGAATAGGGTAATCGGTGTTGGACGGATGAAGATGTTGAATCTCCAAGGGTGATCTTATAAAACCAAAGTCTTTGCACCTCGTAACGCGACAGAAGGGTAGGTTCGTTTGTAAACCGCCCTGGACAGTTGAATCGGAATAGTCGAACGCCCGAGGGTGTGCCATGTGGGTATTTGCCTAGGAGCCTGCAGGTGCCCAGTGGCCTATAGGCAGTCCTACCTCGTGAGAGGACTTATGGGTCGGAACGAGCGTGTCTCAGGGTCAGACCAGCTTTTCGCCTTATTCATGGCCACCAGAAAGAGCTCTTGCCCTCACTTATAGTCCACGAGCGGTAACCTCGTCATCGATCTCTGTATGGAAAACATTCGTGCTGCTATTCAATGGATGCCGATCTCTGTACCAACCTAGGATGGACTGTCCTGATTGCGGGAGGGGGAAGGGGCGCAGCTCTCTCCTCTTGACAGACGCTCAGCAGCTTCTTACAGTTTTTTTCCGGTGTACAAGGCTTTGATCTTGTTCGTTCAGGCGACGGTAGCTGTAAGTTGCCAGTGCACTGGCTTTTCGTCGCATTCACCACCGCGAAAGGCTTCTGGGTATGCGCAGATTGAGCGATTTCGCGTCAAAGAGGAAGCAGGAGGTAACCGCAGTTCCTCAAAGAGCCTGTCCTTCGAGTGTCGGAGTCAGTTTGTTTCGAAGGCCTCGGAAGGAAGAAGCGATGAACAGGCATGGGATCCTACCGCCTCGTTGCCAGGACTAACTTTGTGGCTCACGACCTCGTGTCAGGGCAGAGTGTAGGTCTCAGTGGGAACGTTGTCAGGAAGAATTGACAAAAATCCGATTCACTCACGATCGTTTGACAGACGCAGGAAGCCGATTTACCGCCGTCGTCAGCGATGGGACGTTCGACACGAAGGAGAAGAGGCGGCAACTAGGTCAGAAATCGATTCATTGCCAGTGGCCAACTTGATTTCCAATAACGTTCGAGTTGACACTGCCTCACACAAAGGTCGGATTCAAGTCATGCCTGTTTAACAGCTGTGGTCTGACAACTTGCTCGGATATCGACATTCCACCCGTGAATGAGCTCCGCTCCCCAGCCCGCGGCCGTACACCCCAATCCATCAACGGCAGTTACCAGGTGCCTTCAGCCCAATGAACCCATGTCCAACTCTTCGCTTGTGAAAATGCCTCTCATCGATGTTTCATTCATGAGGTCCGCTCTCACAGAAGCCCCAATTTCGAACCGTCCATACCGCCCTTCCTCATTTTCTGCACCATCTCCAGAGTCTGCTTGAGCTGTAGTTCGAAGGACTCAGGAACTGTGAGTGTCGTACAAACATCGTTACTGTCCTGGATGTCTGTCATTGTCGTCTGAATCATCCGCTTGGTGGCGTCAAGGTTCCTGTGTAAGACAACGTGTTCGAAGCTCGTGTCGTCGGCAAAGCAAGTTTCACACTTCTGTCTGATTTGCCTTTCCGGGAACCACTCTTGCTCTTCTCCCATGTGGCGGTCGTGGCGAAATATCGAA